ATCTTGCGCGCGACACTCCGCCTCACAATGGTGAACATTTGTGCAAAGAATATTGAAATCCCTCTAACATGTGGAAGTTTTGCTCCGGACAATCATTTTTCAATGAGCTCTAAGTGTGACCTTGACCTTTGACCTAGAGACCTGGTTCATGTGCACGACACTGCTCCTCATAGTGGTGAACATTTCTATGAAGTTTCATTAAAATCCCTCCATACATGTAGGAGATATGCTCCGGACAAAATTGGACGCCGAATACCCGCCCGCCCATACGCCCGCCCGCCAGGGGCGTTCCCATAATACGTCCCGTTTTTCAAATGGGCGTATAAAAAAGAAAAAGATGATTGCATTGTTTTTGTTTGTTTGTCTGCTTGTTTTGGGTTTTACGTCAGTTTAGGTCATATCGCAACATTCCAGCTTTACTGGTGGAGGAAGACCTCAGGTGCCCTTCCGTGCATTATTTCAGGCACGAACGGGCCACCTTAGTAGAACCACCGACGTTCTGTAAGCTAGCTGGATAGCTTCCTCACATGAAAGAATCCAAAAGTCAGATATCTTTTCTTGAAGCTGAAAGTCACAAGTTAAATAGAAAAGTCGATGAATAGGAATCTCGTAGCTTGCGTGACAATTTACTTTTCCACGGTATACCGGAAACTGAAAAGGAGGATTGTGAAGCACTTGTGTTGAATTTAATAGATACTTCCTTGGACATTAAAGACTCCATTGATATTGCTCGTGCTCATAGAATAGGGCAAACTAGAACTATCACTAAATGTGATTAATACCCCTGCAAGACTGCTTCGAAAATGAGGAAGTTACTGGCAACAGAATACCTTGCAAAAGAATTGAAATAGAATTATGGTTGTGGTCAATTTAAAATAGTTGTAGTTTGTGCATGTTGCTTTTTCTTTCAATGCGTTTGACCATTAATGAAGTTTTATCAAAATACGTTGTAATAAGTCCAAAAAGAGTTACGATTCTTGAGCACTGCACTACCTCTCATTGCGCTTGACCTTTGAATGAAGTTTCATTCAATTCTAAACATTAGTTTTAAAGTTATGCACCTGACAAGGAAAAGGAACACAGGACAATAACTCTACAAACACTGAAGATGGAGTTATGGTTATTGTACACTGCACTTCTTCTCATTGCGCGTGACCATGGTATGAAGTTTCTTTGAATTCCAACCATTAAATTTCAAGTTATGCACTGGACAATAAAAAGTAACAAAGGGCAAAAACTCTTAAATGAGTCAAGAAATAGTTATGGTTTCTGTGCACTGCGCTTTCTCTCAGTATACTTGACTACTGTATAAAACTGTACTGAATTCCAACTAGTATTTTTAAAGTTATGCTCTGGACAACAACAAGAGGGCCATGATGGCCCTAGATCGCTCACCTAGACAAGCATCCTGACCAAGTTTGATGATAATTGAGTCGAAAATGTGACCACTAGAATGTTAACAAGGTTTTCCCATATTTGGGCGGTGTGACCTAGTTTTTCATCCAAGATGACCCATGTTCGATCTTGACTTAGAAATCATCAAAACAAACTTTCAACCCAATCAACAGAATATTTGGATCACAACAGTAGCCACCAGGGTGTTAACATGCTTTTTCTATCTTTAGCTCCGGTGACCTAGTTCTTCATCCGAGATTGTTTACATTTCAAATTGAAATATTTTAATGCTCCATTCATTTCTGTGACAAAATTTCGTAACAGACGCCATACTGATGTACGTGCGATCGGAATGGATTGAGGGCCAATCTTTTTTGTTAATTTCCTTCGTTTAGTAGAAGGTCTTTGCCCCTTAAGCTATTGTTACGAAATGACTACTACATTGTGTTCTTTTTACTATCACGCATTAAGATGTCCCCTTTTTCAGTACTTGAAAATGAAGGAAAAACAGAAAAAAAGCAAAAGCAAAATCCTCCCATCTTTAAAGGAGGAAAATAATGTACATAAAAAGCAGAACTTATTATTACAAAAACGTTGTCACTGACAAGTAACTTATGCCCCAAACTTATGCCCCCGAAAGGAAACTTTGACTGAAATCCGCAATATATGCCAACGTTGGCTTTTGAGAAAATATCTTTCCTAAAATTAAGATATCATAACTGTGCCAAAATAAAAAAAAGGTTCAATCATGACACTATGCACAGCTAGGCATGGTGACAAATAATCCTGTGAAGTCTCACTGATATCCCTAGCGGTTTTAGCGATTTATCGTGGACACGCTTATTTTACAAAAAAAACTGTTAAGGGGCCATAACTGCGCCAAAAATCAAGCAGAATATCAAGATAGTATGCATAACTTAGCTTAGTGACAAACAATTCTGTGAAGTTTCACTGAAATTCCTCCAGTGGTTTTAAGGACGAATCAAGTACAAGATGACCTGACGGACGGACATTGCGATAACTCTATCCCGCCCTTTCGGGAGAGGGTGGGATTAAACTGTTTTTGTTAAAAAAATAGGGCAATGGGTAAATATAATAATTTGTCATGATAAGATAAAATCTCTTTTGTATGAACATGTCTGGAAGAATATTATCATATATTTGACAATTATTGGGTTAACGTTTCGGGGTATTGCATTTATAAAGAGACTGTTAAGTTATAGAAAAGGAAAAACAGCAAAAACACCATAAACTCAGGGTAATATATGCCCAAAAGTAAATTTGTTTGAGTAATAAATCTAATCTTTCAATCAGGGTAGAGATCCAATAAAGAAACTTGTAGTAAAAATGTTTCTCATAATTATCCTTATATGACCTAAAAAGTAGAGGTTTTTTAGTCTAAGTGCATGATCCATGAAACTTGAACACTGATTCATAACAAGAGCGATCAGTAATCACATGTGTCGCCTCATGATGGCCAATTTCATGTTTGGACAAATTTTGTGACACACGGACAGCCAGACGGACAGTGCACAACTAGACTTGGTACTGATCATTCCTGTAAAGTTTTGATAAAATTGCACCAGTAGTTTATGAGGAGTAGTCCGGACAAGCTTTTGTGTATCTGGCAACACACAGAAAAAAAACACCTTTTTATCAAAGGGCCATAACTCAGCCAAAAATCATTCAACCGGAAAACCCGTGCAATATGCGCAAGGACTTGAGCTACAGATCAATCCTGTAAAGTTTCATTGAAATTGCATTAGTGGTATAAGAGAAGTAGTCGGGACAAACTTTTAAAATAAAAATTATTAAAGGGCCATAACTCAAACAAAAATCATTTAACCGGAAAATGCTGACAATATGTACAACTAGACTTGGTACTGATCATTCCTGTAAAGTTTGGATGAAATTGCACCTGTAGTTTATGAGGAGTAGTCCGGACAAGCGTTTGTGTATCTGGCAACACAGAGAAAAAAACACCTTTTTATCAAAGGGCCATTACTCGGCCAGATATCATTCAACCGGAAAACCCTTGCAACATGCGCAAGGACTTGAGCTACAGATCAATCCTGTAAAGTTTCATTGAAATTGCATTAGTGGTATAAGAGAAGTAGTCCGGACAAACTTTAAAATTAAAAATTATTAAAGGGCCATAACTATAATTAAACCGGAAAATGCTGACAATATGCACAACTAGACTTGGTACTGATCATTCCTGTAAAGTTTGGATGAAATTGCACCAGTAGTTTATGAGGAGTAGTCCGGACAAGTTTTGTGACGGACGGACGGACGGACAGACAGACAGACGGACAGACAGACGACGGAGAAGTGATCCCTATATGTCGCCACTACTCCGTAGAGGCGACACAAAAATTGTACAGAGGTCTTAAAGGCAATGCTATATGCCAAATATAGAGGCATAAAATGTTTTTTCCTATACCTTAGTCAGAAGACTAGTTGAAGGAAGTGACTTCCGGTCCAATGCCACTTTATATAACTTTCGTAGAAACCTTCAAATTGATGCTCTATGACATATATCTACGCTGGTGTCTTTGTCGTTTCACACAATAAGACATCAATGTCTTTTCCTATCATATAGTGATCTCAGGCACATGATATCAATTTTACATATCTTATTTCTTAGCATTATAGTTTTACAAAATATGATGAAATGTGGTTTTCATAAAAGCTTTTTAAAAATAAGTGAACCAAGGGTTGGGGCCAAAATTGATCAATTGGCATGGTTGTAGCAGTAATGTAGGGGCCCAACGAGAATTGAAAATTAAAACTCTAGCATTGGATTTGCCCCAAAGTAAGTTTTTAATTTTATTTTAAAAATTTTTTAAAATTTTTTGGGGTTTTGGGGTTTTGAAAAATTTTTTATAGGCCATGATAATAGCAGTTAATTGAAATTAAAAAGTGATGGAAATGCAAAACTACCCGTTGTGTATAAATGTATAAGTCTACAAAATCAAGTGCCCCTGGGAAAGGGCTATATTGAACTGAAATACAAGACTCATATTAGTTTTGTTATAGTCGATAAGGCAATGCTACATGCATTTCAGCTCTAGACATTATAGTTTCATATGTAAGTCTAAGGTAGCCTGAACCTGTGTTCCGAAAAGAGTTTAAATATAAAAATAATAGTATATAGTATATAGTATAATAATATAATATATAGTAATATTATAATTATATTCAATAAAGTAATATTTCTGTGACAAATAGTTTTAAGTTATTTTTGTTGGCTGAAAAGAAACAGAGCGGACACAAAAGTTAAATTGATTCTAAATGATTAAGTGTGACCATGACCTGAGAAAAGTCAAATCTGCGCTCTATACATCGTCTTAATATGATTAACATTTCAGACAAGTATCAATAGTTTTAACCGAATCAAAAGTTACAGACCGAACACAAAAAACTACTTATAGACAGACGGATGACAAAAGTTCATTGCATTACACGCCTATATTTTTTGTCGAGCCTATGAAAGGTAAAAACAGATTCGTGAATAAATGACACTATTGTGTCAAATTGACCAAAGTATTAGTGAATGTATACAAATTATATCAAATATCTGGAAATGATGAAATTAATCATACTTGGGGGTGGTTGAACCTTGATTGGTTCAGAATAGTTACTGAACTCTCCAGTACCGGCATTGTTGCAGGCTGCTACACGGAACTCATATTCTTTACCATCTTGCAAACCCTCTACTGTGAACTCGGTGACTTGGTTGACAGAATAACTGCTTCTGTGTAACAAAATGAACAAGATATATAGTACTTAAATAGATTAAAAGGAATATTTGCATATTTAACCTATTAACCTATGAACATCACAGATATCGATGATTTTAGTATGAAAACATGTACATATGTGAGCTTTAGTTCAGCAGCCTTATTTTGTAAAGACAGAGCGTAGGTATGACGCCAAAGCCCCCCCCCCCTATCGGCGGCGGCAGAACTGTGTCTTTGTATCAATAAAACGGCCTGTTTTTAACAATTTCTCATTTCTTCGTTTCAAGTTAAAAATGTTCAGTACATGTATGCGTTTATATGATGACATTCTCCGAAAGCTGAATATACTGCGATTCTAAGGTTAATTTCTCACCCTTTTAAAGTATATATCTGTTAAAAAAATAGTGCGTCATAGTAATACCAATTGTGAAATAAAAATTGCTATATGGTGAATTTTATTTTAATATTTTAAGCATGTGTAGTGAAATTTAGAAGGAAAATATTCAAGCAATAAAAATAGGGTCAATGATATTTTGTTATTACTGTTTTGATATAAATCAAGAGGACCATGATGGCCCTTTTTATCGCTCACCTGATTATTGAGGCTCATAATTAAAAACTTTAGCAATAATAAAAGGCAGGTATAATGTCATAAACATACAATGATATCATAACTTTCATATCTGCATCTGAAATAGTGCAAATGTTAACAAAGCTATATCACACATAAATGCCTTTTTAAGTTCTGTGACCTTTACTGACCTCAGATGAGCCTTATCCAAACCTGAACATGAAATCATTCAAACAATCTTTCTGACCAATGTCCAGGGTATTTGGGCTAAACATGTAACCTCGTGGGGCAATGACAAAGATTTTGCATTTTTGGTCTGTGTGAACATGATTTTGACCATGGATGAGTCATGTTCAAAGCTGAGCTGGAAATCATCAACCAACTTTCTGACAATTTTTGAAAATATTAAGTTAACCCATTACTTCATATACACGCCTTTTAATGCCTTTTTCACCCCCCCCCCCCTTTTTGTTGTCTCAAATGATGAAAAATGCCTTATTTAGGCCCCAAACACTTGTTTCTGTTTGAGAAATGTTGCTAAAAAAAGTGACCTCTTTTTCGGCGCGGCCCCCAACCAAAAGATACATCAGGGGGTTGCCAGAAGGGGGATGTGCCCCCTTCTGTTTGGGGGGATTTGAAGGGGGGCGGAGTCCCCCTCATCGCCAAGAAAATTTTGGACTTGTGAGAGGCTGTAAATGACCCCAGATTGATCATAAGGTAACATGTAACCAACGTTGAAAAGCATTTGACTCTATCTCAATCCATTGAGAAGTTGCAGCACTTTGAAATCAATTTTGATGGAAAAAATCAACGCAAAATAGTGTTTTTTTGCAATTTTGAGATGTCCCCTCGTTGCCATGGTAACAGAAAATTTAAGCCTGATCATGTTGTTGCAAGGGCAATGGTCCAGTCAACATTTGTGCCAAGTTTGATTAGTGTTGAAGCAGTTTTTATAGTATTATAGCAATTTGAACTTGTAACGGGAGACTTTTCAATGAAAACAGCCATTTTTCACAAAATGCTCATGAAGTAATGGGTTAATGAAAAAAATAAAAAAATCTACAAAACAACAATTTTTCTTCAAATTTATATGACAGGCCATGTTTAAACATGAAAAAACGTGATTTAGGGTAATTTCAAGTATTTTTCATCATTTTCTGTTAACCCATTACTTCATATACACGCCTTTTAACGCCTTTTTCACCCCCCCCCCTTTTTGTTGTCTCAAATGATGAAAAATGCCTTATTTAGGCCCCAAACACTTGTTTCTGTTTGAGAAATGTTGCTAAAAAAAGTGACCTCTTTTTCGGCGCGGCCCCCCCAACCAAAAGATACATCAGGGGGTTGCCAGAAGGGGGATGTACCCCCTTCTGTTTTGGGGGGTTTGAATGGGGGCGGAGTCCCCCTCATTGCCAAGAAAATTTTGGACTTGTGAGAGGCTGTAAATGACCCAAGATTGATCATAAGGTAACATGTAACCAACGTTGAAAAGCATTTGACTCTATCTCAATCCATTGAGAAGTTGCAGCACTTTGAAATCAATTTTGATGGAAAAAATCAACGCAAAATAGTGTTTTTTTGCAATTTTGAGATGTCCCCTCGTTGCCATGGTAACAGAAAATTTAAGCCTGATCATGTTGTTGCAAGGGCAATGGTCCAGTAAACATTTGTGCCATGTTTGATTAGTGTTGAAGCAGTTTTTATAGTATTATAGCAATTTGAACTTGTAACGGGAGACTTTTCAATGAAAACAGCCATTATTCACAAAATGCTCATGAAGTAATGGGTTAAGAATGTTAACAATATTTTTTTCTTTTATCTGGGTTGTGTGACCAAGTTGACCCATATTTAAACATAACCTGGAAACCATCTTAACAATCTTTCTGACTAATTTCCGGGATATTTGGAACTTAATATCCTGGATCTTTATAAGCAAATTAAAAATTAATGACCTCCTGTTTTAACCCAGGGATTATAATTTGAACATTCTTGGTAGGCATCCATTACACAATTTTTCATGTCAAACATCTAACCTCTAGCCTTTGTAAATTCAGGGAGGATAATTTTTTAAGTTTTTCTTTATACCTATACGGAAAACAATGACCCAATTGCTATAAATTGCACACTCTTGATAGAGGTACACACTGTTTCATTCCAAATATCTAACATCTAGTTTTTGTCAATTCAGAGAAGACTATTTTTTTAAGGTTTGACTAAAATGCATATAAGGAAAATCAATAAACCCTAGGGGTCAGACCAATTTTGACATTTAGGCTATAATTTGAATTTGTGTACAGTTTCATAAGATGATGCTACAAACAAAATATCTAAGATCTAGGCCTTGCACATTCAGAGAAGAAGGGTTTTAAACATTTCACTTTTAACATCTATTTTTTTTGCCCTCCTACGCCAGATGTTCAATTGAGCAGAACTGTTTGAACAATTTAAGTAGAGCTTCATGCTGGGAACGTCCGTGGAAAAATTCATTAAATTTGACCCAGTGGTTTCTGAGAAGAAGTCGTTTGAAGGAAAAGTTGACAACGGACGCACTGACGGACGAAGGACTCCGGACAAATTGTGATAACAAAAGCTCGCAATGAAAAGTTTACGACATTTTCGATAAATTGTAGCATGGCAAGAATTAAATCTGTGAAAACCAGTAACAACAATAGTATTAAGACTAGTTTCGTAGGAATTCTTTTTAAAAAGTGAAATTGCTTTCAGCTGTCTGTGTTTCGATTAACCACTTGAAATTATATACATGTACAACATATCAGGGTATGGTGGTCTGCAAAACTTATTAAAGTTGATATACAATTTACTTCAAGCAGAGCGTTTATCGTATTAAATACAGATTGCCTCCTAATGGAGAGGTACATATAAGATCCCCAATTTGTGTGCATGTGGTTGTGGGAAAACTATTGTTTGTGGTACATAATGCAGTGATAAAGAGCCTATGGGAATAATAATATATGCGTTTTATGTTTTATCTTCTTATATTCATTAACATTCGTGCTTTCAACAGTTTTTCAATTATAATATAGCTAAATGAATTAACCAAAAGCAGTTTTTTCAAGTTGTGTACCAGTTAAAACGTCTCTTCTGAAATAACTGACAACATCTCCATAGGAGTCAGAGTTGGACCACAAATTATTTTATACACAATAAACAATTTCAAAGCGTCACTAAAAACATACTTATTGCTCAAGTCATCTATACACCGTCACTCTTGCTTACTTTGCAAAAGTATATTCTTTGCATGCTTATACAATTAAAATATTTTCACATAAATAGAATATCACCAAAGTGTAGATTAGATTAGAGTTATTACGTATGTAGGTTCAAATTATAACTGAAATTATCTATTACACTATCGTGTCTCAAACTCGTATCTTGAAAATTAAGCTTAAGACCAGTATAATGATTTCAACACTATGGCAAAAATGAAAGTCAACCTCTGCAGATATTTTAATAATTTTAACAAATCTTTTAACTTTTACAAAATTGTACAAATTGATACTATATGCCCAATATAGAACCTCTGGGCCTTTATGTTTCACACAATAATACTTAAATTTGTGTTCCTGTAATCAGATGACCCGGGGGCTGGCAAGTTTAACCCTATTGGCATGATGTATTTCAATTAAGAAGATATTCAGCTATTTTATTGTATCGGATGGTTCCGTAACGTACCCTTATTAGCGGAAATTCACGGAAACGGCCGAGACAATTCAACTTTGTCTGTATCTCATTCAATTTTGTGAACTGTTCTTGAATGACTAATGATGTCCAATTATGTTGTACGTTGTATGAAAGAGATTTGAGAGAAAGGTTTACATTGGTTTTTAACATTCCTTTTTCCCAATTCCCGTGAACTTTATTTCTCCAGTTCACTTGGTCTTTATTATCTTACGAATTAAGATATATACAATCTACTTGCATTAATAAATTAGTGTATGTAAAACAGAATTTTTGATAGGATATATAATTATTTACTTTTTGTAATGGTAAGATTATTTTCATTTCATTAAAGTAATTGAAATTAATTCTTATTTGCATCGCTCAATAGTTGTATTGTTGTATTTTATGTATGTTTTAATTAACTTGTATTATAATCATGCATTTATGTTTTAAGGAATTTTCTTCGTATTATATCCATAAAATCGACGAATGTATGCCAGGAGTTTATCATTAATTTTACCCTGTGACAATTGTGGCCAGTTAATTGTTCTTTTTCAGAGGTAAAAGTTGTTGACTCTTGAAAAACAATCTTCAACTAAACCAGAAATATCTTCTTCTATTAACAATTTGCAGGCATTAGGTATAAAGGTACATAAGGAAAATTTGACAGATGATCAGTATGTTAGAGCTCAACAGATTTTAGGCAATTGGGAGAATATTTTTTTCTTAATCTTTTAGAGATATTGGCAAGACTGACTAAGTTAAACATCACATTAAACAAATGATGATAAACCTTTCAAACTACCGTACAGGAGAATTCCACCATTAATGTATGAAGAAGTTCGGCAACATTTACGGGAAATGTTAGATTGTGGCGCAATAAGGGAAAATCAATCTCCTTATTGTAGCAATGTTGTTTAAGTAAAAAAGAAAGATAACAGTTTAAGATTTTGTATAGATTTACGTGAACCGAACAGAAAAACCATCAAAGATGCTTATACTTGGACTAGTGTCGATGATATGTTAGATTTCCTTGTAAATGCTATATATTTTTCCAAACTAGATTTACGTAGTGCATATCGGCAAGTCATGATAGTTGAGGAAGACAAGGAGAAGACAGCTTTAAGTGTTGGAAGACTCGGTTTATACAAATGTGAGAGAATGGCATTTGGTCTCCCCAATGTTCCAAGCACATTTCAAAGGTTAATTGAAACCTGTATGGGCAATTTAAAAAGAGTGTATTTTTTTCTAGATGATGTTTTGACTTTTTCGCAGATTTTCGATGAACATCTCAAAAGAATAGAAGCTTGTTATGAGCGTCTTCGAGAGCATGGTCTGAAATTAAAACCTTCAAAGCGTGAATTTTTCAGTTCAAGTGTTTCTTATTGAGGTTGTGTTACAGGCGTTTTTGTAAAGATTATGCTAAAATTGCTAAGCCTTTTAATGATCTTAGTAGGTCATCCCATGAACAAGGCATCCTAGAAGTCCACGTAGAGTAAAACTCCTTGGGTCTGGGGTGATGAGCAACAAAAGACTTTCGACACTATAATTCATCTTTAACTCATTCACCTGTACTTGGTTGTGCTGATTTTTCTAATCCATTTATTGTTTCTTTAGATGCTTCGACAGAAGGTCTTGGTAATGTTACATACCAAGAACAAGATGGCTGTAACGTGAGATAAGCTATAGCAGCAGAGGTCTACGTGCCAGTGAGAAGAACTACCCAGCACACAATTTGAAGTTTTAGTGTATATAGTGGGCCATTACAGAGAAGGTTTATGTCTACCTGTATGGAAACACCTTTATTGTCCGAACTGACAACAACCCACTTACATATGTCTCTTCTTCTGCCAAGTTTAAAATCGTTTACAAGCCAAAGCCAGGTAACCAGAACAGTGATACTGATGGTTTAAGCAGGAGTCCAAACCTTCGAGAAGAGGAGGAAATCATGTTTACAGATGTATCAAGGCCGTGTGTACAGAAGCCAGAGCCAGAACAGTTGAACATCCCCTGGCTGCGTCGACGTTCCCAAAGGTAATGATATGTTTGAGTCTGAGCCTTTGGAAGACAATTTTTCATCACCAGGTATTTTCAAGATCAACTGGAAGGAAGAAAAGGCCATAGACCCATTCTTTTCAGGTTGTACGAGGTAGTTAACAAGAGGATACACCTAAAAAGCACTAACTGAGCAATGAGCCTAATGCAGTACAGAAGCTGTAAAGACACCGACCATCGTTCACCATCAGAGACAGCGTACTCTACTCTACAGAAGATGTGAGATTGATTGACAACTATTTTTTCAGCTGGTTTTCCCTGAGAGTTTTAGAGAGTGGCCTTGAAGGGACTCCATGAAAATGTTGGTCACCAAAATAGAGACAGAACCCTTTGGTTGGTGAAACAGAGATCTTTCATGTTGAGCCTAGAGAAGGATGTCATCAGGATGATTCAAACTTGCCCAACTGCCTGGGAAGGAAGTCACCATCTAAAGCCCAAGCCCACCTGGTACCATTTCAGAGTACACATCCTATGGAGTTGGTTTGCATAGACTTTTTGTCTTTGGAAAAGTCTAAAGGCGGGTATGAGAATATTCGGGTCATCTCAGATCACTTTACAGGCAATTCCAAACCGCAACCAGACGGCACAGACTACTGCATGTGTCTTCTTTTAATTAAAACCTTTTTTAACCCCCCCCCCCCAACACTTGTTTTTGTTTGAGAAATGATGTTCTAAAAGTGACCACTTTTTCGGCGCGGCCCCCAACCAAAAGATACATCAGGGGGTTGCCAGAAGGGGGTAGTGCCCCCTTCCGTTTGGGGGTTGGAAGGGGGGCGGAGTCCCCCACATCGCAAAGAAGATTTTGGACTTGTGAGGGGCTATTAATGAACCCAGATTGATCATAAAGTAACGTGTAACCAACGCTGAAAAGCATTAGACTCTATCTCAATCCATTGAGAAGTTGCAGCACTTTGAAATCAATTTTGATGGAAAAAATCAACGCAAAATAGTGATTTTTGGCAAATTTAAGTTGTCCCCTCGTTGCCATGGTTACAGAAAATTTAAGCCTGAGTATGTTGTTTCAAGGGCAATGGTCCAGTCAACATTTGTGCCAAGTTTGATTTGTGTTGAAGCAATTTTTATAGTATTATAGCAATTTGAACTTGTAACGGGAGACTTTTCAATGACAACAGCCATTTTTCACAAAATGCTCATGAATTAATGGATTAAGTGAAATAAAGATTGATATTGCATGCAAAACTTTAATAAACGACTTAGTAATTTCAAAAATGGTCATAAATCTGTCAAAATCCATGCTATATGCTTCGGAGAGTAAAGAACTTTAAGCAAGTGTGTAGTTACAATCAAATATAATATGTGCTTGATGATAAATGATGATGCATGCGAAAACGTCAACCAAAGTTTTACGTCTATACTAACAATTCAGTGAGTAGGATAGCCCTACTATTCTGCAAATACTTCACTTATCTTCGAATGGTCAAGCTTAAATCTATATCAGATTAAATTAATGGATCTATGATTAGTTTTCTAAACTTACGATCCCTAAAACACATTAAGTTTCAATTGAAAACATTCAACAATCATGAAAGCTAATGTTGGCTAAAGAACTATAAACAGGAACGTACTGTGTTCACAAAGGTCCTAAATTCAGTAAAATATCTTAGCGATAGGTAACGAACCTTTGATAGTGACCTCTTTTGATGTTTTCAATTCTTTGAAGTTACCAGCAAGAATCTTTTATGGTTGACAATATATGATTTTGTACAAAATATGCACATACAATTTTATACAGTGTAACCATGACGGTCTCGTGAGTAGATTTAACCATTTTCTTCTAAAGATATATCTTAATATGTTCATTTCAAGTTTCAGGAAATTTGTAACAAGTTGAAGGTAGCGAGAAAATTCCCGAGTAAACATTATGATCAGACAAAATACATTACATATGTGTTATTTCACTACATTTATTCAACTAAATTACTATATTCTAACGTCAAAACAAGGAATCATATTTCCATTTATTTTTAGATAAATTATTTTCATGAAATATAAAAGTCAAAGTTAATATTTTTTATTTTATGTTTTCACTTAAACCCACATTCAAACTTACGTTTCCCATATGACATCACCCTTCTCTCTCCTCTCAAGGACATATCCAGTGACTGGGTTACCTCCATCTCTATTGGGTGGTGTCCAAAATAAAGTTATACTGTCCTCTGTTGTTGTCTTACATTTAGGTACACCTGGTGCTCCTGGCTTGTCTGAAATAATAAACTCAAATTATACACACAGGGTAATTTTATGTCCATAAAAATTGAAACTTGAAGTTTTAGTTTTAGCTAAGCATCCATTTATTCAAAAATATAATTCAGCGTTTTTTACCAATAATTACAAATTTATTAATTACAGAATAAAACAAGAGGGCCATCATAGCCCTGAGTCGCTCACCAGAAAAAATTGCTTTTCAGTAAAAGATAAAAGACTAAGAATGCTACAAAAAACTTTGTTACTTTGTTGATAATCCATCAATTAATTCTGTAGAAGTAGATGTTTAAAGTCATTTCTATTTCCTTAAGAGACTCCAAAAGAGGGCCAATCAAATTAATATGAGTAAACTTGAAAAAGACAACCTAAGAATGCTACAGACAAACAACATTGGTGATCATCCATTAATCATTGCAGAAGAAGATGATGTTCAAAGGTTTCTCTACTTCTTTTAGCTTCAGCATCCCTTAAAGGAGCCAATCAAATTAATATGAGCAATTGATAAAATAGAGAAAAACATAGACGTCTTGTCTGCAATACAAGAGGTAGTATAGTATTGAGGCTTGATAACCTCAGATCCCCTTTCAAAATTAAATTTTATTTAGTTCCACCCACTGTTTCTAGTTAAGGGCACACTCATTTTTTATATTGTTGACCATACGATGCTTCTTATTGATGACGGTAACGTGTAACATTGAAGGTTCCATGATAACCGCCGCATGAACACATCTGAAAATGTTTTTGGTTTTACAAAAAAACACGCTTGATTTTCATGTTCAAATGCTGAATTCTGCGTGGGCGGTAACATACTTTTTCCTGTACCGTCCATCAAAAAGAGAATGCAACATTTAAATTTTGAAGGTTTCGGCATTCATTCTTTATGGATACTGTTTTTCTCTATCTCAATATACTGACCAATATGATATGGCAATATGATGTAAATTTGTTTAACACAGGACCATTATTTACGTATTATTGAAGACTACCACTAGGTAAAGCTTCATGAAAGAAACTTTTATATGCTTTTAGAAATAAAAAATTATCTCAAACTGAAACTATCAAAGCATTTAGTGAATACTTGATATAAAGTTACCATGTGGGTCCAAATCCGTCACATCAGGTTCAGGAGTTTTATGTTCTAAATTTTCAAAAAAAAGATAATTGTATATAAAATAAATGACATGTGGCTTTAAAAAGCTTTTGCAAATAATCAAATCATGTTAAACAATTCTGCATACTTTACCTATAATGGGACTTTTAACTTCGTCTTTTCGATGTGCCTAATGATCAATCTTGTAAAATAGATATACACTACAAATGCGTTAGTAATTATGTTTAACACTCACTCCAGCTGGTATAAAATTCTGTTATAATGTTTCTAAATCCTGGATACTTTTGGCCATCATTTCTATAATATACGAACACTCGTGCAATTGCATAACTTTAATCTATTCAAGAGAACACATTTTATACATAACACATTACAAATATTTCTTGACATTACCTTTCTGCGACTTCCCCACCAATTTGCGCCCTGAGGTTCCTTCTGAAAATACAAAATATTAAGGTAGAAAATTCTTTGACATTCAAGTATTAAAACGTAAAGTAAATATTAGTAATTAAATGAAATAATTTCATCAAATAAAATAATAATGCATATCTTGCAAACAATATACAATCATGTATTTCATGTATTTGTAACAGTTACATACTAAGTGATGATAAAACCTTTTGAAATAAATATAGATATAGATCATATTAAGACTTTATTTTCCATTTAGCCAGATTCCTATAAAACAACAAGATATGTTTGTAAAACATGTATGACCTCAATCTGCAGCCAATTAGTCATGTGATCAGGTTATTATGCATGACTTCTGACCCAGTGAACAAACAATTAATAAGGGTTATCTAGTATCTACTGGTAATGACTAGTCACAAGGTAATAATTATTGTGACCCCATAGGTTGTGTGCAGCAATTTAAGTTATTACAAATCTTACCAAATAATATATGCATAAATCTTATGAATCATGTACGCCTCATTAATGACAGCCAAGTTGTTATATTACATAAGACCTTCAAATGTGTATCCCAAAAGCATTTTTAGTTTAATATAAAAATATCAACCCAGGCAACTTGAGTTGTTGAGTTATTGGTCAGACACCGTCATTAAGTACAAGGTCAATGTGACCTTGACCTTGGACCCCTTGACCCCAAAATCAAAAAGGGTCATCTGCTGGCAATGACCAATCATCATACCAAGTTTGAAGTTTGTAAGCCTAAGCGTTCTTAAGTTATTAATCGGAAACCGTATTTACCTACAAGGTCAATGTGACCTTTGACCCCTTGACCAAAAATCAATAGGGGTCATCTGCTGGTCATGACCAATCACCATACCAAGTTTGAAGTGCCTAGACCTAAGTGAACCCATATTCAAACATGAGCTAGAAATCACCAAAATAACCTTTCTGGACCTTTTCTTAAGGTATTTTTGACAAAAAATGAAGACAACTAATTCATAAATGACAAAATTATTCATGTTAAAGAAAAGTTCTAACAAATATAAAATAAATCTGACATTGAAAGTCAAATTCATTTATCTGTAAAGGTCAATTTCAGCATAGTCATCTTAAAGTTCTAGTCCAAAAAGTTATTCTTTTTAAGCCTGATGGCAATCTGTTTAAAACTAAAGATAAATATTTTCTGACAGCAACCATATTGCCGAAAGCAACAACAATGGCAATGTCAACGACAATCCAAAGACTTGTTCTTCCAAGTGAAAAGGCAATATGATCAAAAATTAAAAATTATGACCAACATAAAAGGTTTTGGACAACAATGGAAACCATATTGGCAAATGAAACAACAACGGTAACGTAACGACAATGTGACTGTAGCAAAAGTTCAAATTTGTAAAAATGTCAAGCTAAAATGAATATAAAGATGAATGGCATACCTTTTAAACACAAATAATACGGCCAGCAGAGTACATATGTCAAAGCTGAAACTATAAAAGAATTCTGAATCAATTCAACATCAATTTTGTACTTGTCCTTCAAACGCTTGATTGTACAAATTTTAATATAGATACACGGTACATTTGTACAAAATGAAAAGCCATCGCACAGTATTTATCCTAAAACAATGTTGTCTATTATTTACTTAAGCCATTTTTTTTCCTTTTGGTATGGCCACATTTCAAAAAAGGTAGGGGAAAAAGAAAAGAAAAAAGTATTCATATCTTAATTCCTGGTTGAGGGTACCTCTTCTTTTCTTATGATTAGTCAATACCGATTCTGATAAATGTGGTGCGTTCATAGTATTTACTAGAGTAATAAAATGACCGATTTCACAGTGCCCGTTTAAAGGTCCTCATACAGAAACTCTCAATGTGACCTTGACTTTGGTAGAAGAGCCTTGAAAGTGTGCGCAATAAGCCTCACAATAGTTAACATTTGTGCCAAGTTATATTAAAATCCCTCTTTGCATGTAGAAGTTTGCTTCCGGCAAGCATTTTTCAATGACCTCTAAATGTGACCTTGACATTTGTCCTGTATACATTGTTCGTGCGCATTACACTGCTTCTTATATAGCGGTGAACAATCGAATCCCTCCATATGTGTAGGAGATATGCTCTAGACAAAATATCTATACTTAAACTTTAGTGACTTTGACCTTGCATATATTAACCTAAATCACATGTTTCACACCAGTTGTCATGATAATGACCATTCCATTTGATGACCATAATGACCATTAATGATAACTAAATGGTCCGAAAACATATTTCAAATTTTTATCTGAACTTTGACCCCTATGTGTGACATTGACGTTGGCCGCAGGGACCTAATTTTTTCAACGCGACGCGAAACTCCGTCTCACAATTGTATAACATTTTTTGCTAAGTTATATTAAAATCCCTCTATGCATGTAAAAGTTTTGCTCCGGAAAAATCATTTTTCAATGACCTTTAAGTGTGACCTTGGCGTTTGACGTAGATACCTGGTTCTGTGCGCGACACAGCTTCTGATATGGGTGAACAGTTCTAAGATGATGCATTAAAATTCCTCCATGTCTGTAGGAGATATGCTCTGGGCAAAATTGACGCTGCCCTCTTATCAGACCGCCTGCTTGCCAGGGAGGAAACTATAATACGACCTGTTATTCAAACGGGCATATAAAAAGGTACTGTACATTATTGTAAAGTTTGGGTGAAATTCCACCAGTAGAGTAGACCGGAAAAATTTTGTGATGGACAGACAAATGATAGAGAAGTGATGTATATGTCCTATCTTTCTACAAAACCACAGAAGTAACAACTATAATATTAGTGTGTTGACAAGAAATGCTTATTGTTTTGTTGCATAAAAAGACGTTGATAGACGAAAACGTAATTACTACTTTAAAAGCATTATCAGTGAATACAAGATAATAAGTTACCATGCGGTTCCAAATCCGTCCCACCAGATTGGGGCATCAAAGTTTCTAAATGTCCAAAATAAGATAATGTTAAATGAAATCAATTACATTTACAACCCATTTGTTAACTTAAACAAGAGCATCGCTAGGCAGAGCATTATATGCCCGAAAGTGTCTTTTTTATATTAAGGATGAAACATTTGTAAGACATTACATAAATTAAATAAAGTATTACCTCCTTCCAAAAGCAATCTTCCTATAAAGTTTGAATATTGTGGGCCAAATAGAAATTAAGTTATACTGTTTTTGGTTTTAAAGTAATAGTGACCTTGACCTTTGACCTTGTGACCCCAGAATCAATAGGGGTATTCTACCAAATACGGACAATCATCCTATGAAGTTTGAATATTGTGAGCCACATAGACCTTAAAATATGCTCCGAAAACTGTTTTCAGTTTTAAAGTAATAGTGACCTTGACCTTTGACCTTGTGACCAAATAATCAATAGGGGTCTCTACCCAATGTGGACAATCATCCTATGAAGTTTGAATGCTGTGGGCCAAATGAAGCTTAAGTTATGCTCAAGAAACTGTTTTCAGTTTTAAGGTGATAGTAACCTTGACCTTTGACCTTGTGACCTCAAAATCAATAGGGGTCTTCTACACAATATGGGCAATCATCCTATGAAGTTTGAATGTTGTGGGCCAAATGGAACTTAAGTTATGCTCCTGAAACCCAATTGTTACGGACGGACGGACAGACGGATAGACAGACAGACGAACGGACGCCAGGTGGTATAACATTATATGCCCGAAATTATTTCGGGCATATAAAAAGCATGTTTTAAATCCTGTATAAGTTATATTTAATGCTTAATTGAACTGCTTTTTTTCTATATGCCTTATGATCAATCTTGAAAAAAATGGATTTGTATTTGTTAAACATTGATTTAAACTAGTATAAAATTCAGCCATTAGGTTTCTTAAACCTGTTTAATTGTGTTCCAATTTCTGCATATGCAAAATTACATGCTTAAATCTCTCAAGACAACACATTTTATATGAAATAATTACTAAACATTACCCAACTGCACATGCCCTTCGCTACTTGAGTTTCCTTTTGAAAATAAAGAATAAATTATTTGATATTTTTAAAACAAGCAATTATCTTAGTATTGCAAGCAATCCATAAGTCCCCTACCGGTTAGAACCCCATCAACATTCTGAAGGGCCATTGGCCATTCACTAATGTTTCAATTTTCTCTATTTTAAGTAAACTTGTTGGAAAAATTCTTTAAAAGTGATCACAGGAAACAGTTTTTATGAACAGACAGACAGACGGACTGAAGGACACTCTAAAGTTAATATTTGAAACATCCCTGTTACCAATATATACCATTTTAAAAGCAAAATTCTTAAAGAGGAGATAACTCTTGAATTAAAGATGCAATTTCATAAAAAATTTCAGCTGTTTTTGACTAATCACAAATATTGTTATATTTGCCATGTTTTAAGCCTATTTGTTGCCAAGACAACTGATATTTTTTCAAAATAGGAAGAACAGATAAGACATGCATAATCTCAAGACTGCTATCGTAACCCATATGTCAAGTTTCATAAAAATATTTCCAGTACTTTTTGAGTTATCACTGGATTCGGTTTATCTGTAAAATTTGCCATATTTTCAGTCTATGGGTTGCCATAGCAACCAGAATTCTCAACATAGGAAGAAAAGATTAGACATGCATAATCTCAAGACTGCCATCTACCCATAATTATGTCAAGTTTCATAAAAAATATTTCCAGTACTTTATGCTTTATCACTGGATCCAGTTTATGTGTAAAATTTGCCATAATTTCAGCCTATTTGTTACCATAGCAACCAGAATTCTTGACATAGGAAGAAAAGAAAAAGACGTGCATAATCTCATGACTGCCATCTACCCATATGTCAAGTTTCATAAAAATATTTCCAGTACTTTTTGCTTTATCACTGGATCCAGTTTATGTGTAAAATTTGCCATATTTTCAGCCTATTTGTTGCCATAGCAACCAGAATTTTCAACATAGGAAGAAAAAAAAAGACGTGCATAATCCCAAGACTGTCATCTACCCATATGTCAAATTTCATAAAAATATTTCCAGTACTTTTTGAGTTATCACTAGATCCAGTTTATGTGTAAAATTTGCTATATTTTCAGCCTATTTGTTGCCATAGCAACCAGAATTTTCAACATAGGAAGAAAAGAAAAAGACATGCATAATCTCCATACTGCCATCTATCCATATACCAAGTTTCATAAAAATATTTTCAGTACTTTTCAAGTTATCGCGGGATCCAGTTTTGTGGACGGACGGACTGACGGACGGACAGACAGACGGACGGAGGGTAAACCTAAAGTCCCCTCCGGTAAACCGGTAGGGGACTAATAAGGTATTTTAGGTTTGTTTCCTTTCCTTCAAAGTAAACGTCAATGTTACAAAAGCCATCCCTCCTTGGCAAAAAGATTTTTGTTATCTTTGCATAAACTTCAAAAACAAGGAACTGTTACATACCGAAAAATTCAGCTCTGAACGTTGTAGTTTTTAGAAATTTTCTTTAAGATACAAATATAATTCAATGTCAGTAGTTTGTTACGCAATTTCAAAAGCCTATAATAATTTGATCATGTTTTAAATGTAATTGCAAGAGAAAGTTTACATTCAAGCAATAAAATATAATTCAACGCATCTTTACAATAACAAACCACTATTTACAAAATTTTTAATATTTTATAACATTACCTCGTTTGTACTCCTCCTGGTCTCTTCCTATGGATATACGAAACATAATGCATGTAAGGTTCTAGTATTGAAAATCTGTTTGCAAAACTACATAAGTTCATTATATTCTGATTTTACATTTCTAAAGACTGGTTGCTGAACACTAAACAATTTACAATCCCAAATGAACAGAAGTTTATAAATCTTACTTTACAGTAACAACATACAGGGGTCCCGGATGTCTTACATTTGGATGGATAAATCTTTCCAGCAGATGCTAACATTAAAATGACCTATATTCACCTTCGAACATTATTTCAGGCACTACGTACGAGACACATGAGTGTAGTAGTTATTTCAAACAAATCTTTTTTAAGCAAAGTTATAAATGTTTGAGCATAGGGCCTTTGAATTGCTACATACATAAGAATGGTATGGATCAATTCATAATACATATTTAGTTATACTATTTTAGCTATACCCTTGAGGCAAGTAAAATGTTTCAGTAAAGTAAGAAAGCATTGGTAACCAATTTGAAGTTTAAATGACAAATAACAGAGACCATTTAACAATTTGTTACAGAATATAAATGCATTTATCAATTCATTTTCAAAATCACAAAATAAGGTGTCGCAATGTTGGGAATGTTTTAAGACATTAATTAATCTTTGAAATAATATCCATATTCATAAATTGCTAATATTTGTTCATGAATGTGTATGATCTGTTCCTTTAAAATTTGACATGTAAAGTGTAGTGTCTAGGTGCCTTTTAGGTCTCCGTTTCACGTGAATATTATGTACTGTATTTTTTTTCTTTTTCTCATGTATTTCGCTTGAAATGTTTTCCACATGGATTTCACAATTTAAGGCGGAAAATATTTGTATAAAAGCCAGGCACGTACTCATTAATTCAGAATTCCTCAAAGTGATAGGTAGGAGCAGATCAGTGTAAAATGAATAAAAGGAGAAATAAAAGGAGAAATTTAATTCAAAATGTGTTTTCTAATTTTTCTTCATAGTTGCTTTAAAATTAAAATTAAAACTTAACATTTGGGGAGTTCTCACTCTTCAAAGTTGTAAACAAAATCACGACATATGGCTGATTTACCTAAAATGCACTGTTTTCAAAGCTTTTAAGTGTTCAGTAGCCATTTCAATAGAGGTCAGACATGATTAGAAATAATTGAACATATGAGCAGATGTTTTTAAATCTCGCAACATATATTTTCAAATATATATATGTTTAATTCTACTACAGCCAGTTATAGAGGGGAGGGGATGGGGCATGGACAGTAGCTTGCAGTTACCTTACTACCGTCCATGATAAAGCTCAATAAAACAGAGGCTACAGCATTTCTAACTTTGCTGTTTTTTGCTTTCTTTAAGTATTTCTTCTCTTTACATTTGTTCTAAAGAAGGTATTTAACGGTAACTTTTTATTTTACTTAGGCATTTACCTGCCCCCGACTACAACACTATGAAAGGAAAATTTTATGGACTACATCACTAGTGATAGAGGAAAAACAAAAGTAGTTTATTTATATATTGGGATGTATAAGATATATGATAGTCAGTTTTTAAATGTTTTCACTTAAACCCAATTGTTTTTTTTGACATGTTCAAGGCAAATAGTCATAAAATAATTATTATTATTCTTTCATGGCTGTTGGTACAGTCAAAAGAAATTGGAAACACATTTCTTGATGCTAAGAATCGTAATAGTCTAGAACACAATTTTCAATTCTATAACTTTATACCGATATAATGCCCATATTTATCTTATGTTGGTGTTCATTTTAACATTATTAATTTCCTATCATTGATATTCTATTAATTTTTTGTAAACATTGAAACAAACTTACTATTTCCAGATGTTCTTGTTTTATTTTTATAACAACCGTAGGCAATGTAGGCAATGACGATACCAAAAAAAAAAAATACTGAAATAATAAAGAAAAACAAGTTATTTTTCAACACAACATTATTTTACACAAATACGATTTAACAATACCACATGTAGACATAATAATGTCCCTTGATCACTCACCTCATATATATTACTAGAAATGGTAACTGAGTAATGAGGTCATAATGGATGTGTCTTTTGTACAACAGCATTACCACAAGTTACATGGACATGCAGGTGTACAACAAGTTCTTGCGGCTCTGAATGACGATTATTGGATACGTTGAGTAACTAGCATAGTAAAACACATCATTAAGCAATGACTGAATTATGGGCCCCGGAAATGACCTCTTATCATAAACTCAAATAGGTGTGTTACAAGCAAATATCTTCATTTGTTTAAATGAGATATAATGTTGATGTAAAGCTTTTACCAAACAGTTACTCCAATGCCAAAATAAATAAATAACAATATTTATGAAATATGCTGTGCAACTGCATAATATTATACAACATGAAATAGTAGTGTAGTAACAGAACAAGGTTTT